TCACCGTATTTATTCAATATGTATAGGAGCTTGGTGGCATAGTGCCTAAGGCACTTGCCTGCTAACCAGAAGGCTGGTGGTTCAAACCCACCAGCCACTTCTTGGAAGGAAGGTTAGGCAATCTACTTCCACAGTGATACTGCCTCAGAAACCCAAGAACAGATCACTATGAGTTGGATCCAACTCCACGGCAGTGGTTGCATTTTTCTTTTTTTATGCAGAGCAAATAATCCAAGATACTCCAAGCTCACCAAGAACCTGGACTGCATGAAGAAGAACATGGCATCAGGATTGGAGGAAGACTCGTTAACAACCTGGATACGCAGATGACACAACTTTGCTTGCTGAAAGTGAGGATGACTTGAAGCACTTACTGGTGAGATTGAAGACTACAGTCTGCAGTATGGATTACACCTCAATATAAAGAATACAAAAATCCTTACAACTGGACCAATAAACAGCATCATGATAAATGGAGAAAAGATTGAAGTTGTCAAAGACTTCATATTACTTAGTTCTACAATCAACACCAATGGAAGCAGCAGTTAAGACATCAGACGATGTATTGCATTAGGCAAATCTGCTGCAAAAGAACTCTTTCAAGTGCTGAAGAGCAAAGATGTCTCCTTGAAGACTAAGGTGCACCTAACCCAAGCCATAGTATTTTCAATCGCCTCATATGCATGTGAAAGCTGGACAATGAGTAAGGAAGACCACAGAAGAGTTGATGCTTTTGAGTTGTAATGTTGGCTAAGACTACTGAAAGGACCATGGACTGCTAAAAGAAGTAACAAATCTATTCTGGAAGAAGGGCAGCCAGAATGCTCCTTGGAAGCAAGAATGGCCAGACTTCATCTTACCTACTTTGGTCATACTGTCAGAAGGGACCATTCTCCGGAGAAGGATATCATGCTTGGTAAATAGAGTGTCAATGAAAAAAGGGGAAGTCCCTGAACAAGATGGATTGATACAGTGGCTGCAATGATGAGCTCAGGTATCCAAGAATCATGAGGCTGGCACATGACCAGGCAGTGTTTCACCTTTGTTTGTTATAAAACCCACTGTCACTGAGTTGATTCTGATTCATAGCAACCCCCTTAGGGTTCCCAAGGCTGTAAATCTTTACAGAAGCAGATTGCCCCATCTTCCTCCCCTGGAGCAGCTGGTGTGTTTGAACCATTGACCTTCTGGATAGCAGCCAAATGTCTTACCCATTGCATCACCAGAGTTGGTGAAAAGTGAGGTCACCAGGGAAAGGTTCCCCTTGCTGCTTAAGCAACATGTGAAGTTGAACAGGCAAGTGTTGTGGACTCCCTTATTTGTAACCTAGCTTAATCACTTGCTATTACTGTTGATATGTGCTGAACATTTCCACTTCTCTCTCCCTCATCTCTATGAAACAGGACTAGCATTAACAAATGGCTGGACTTATTTTCTGCTTAGCTTTAGAAATAATGACTACAGATTAATGCTTCTAAACTGGAGCATCCTACTTGGTAAAAATTCCCAAATTCTTACCAGCTTATAGCTAACTACAGGGCAAGCCACACCATTTTGATTAATCAGGAAAATATTTTATAATAGTATCTCAGGAAATCCATTTGAAATTATAGTGCTAAGGTTAGAAAATTTTGTAGTATTTTATTGATATGTCCTAATGGTTAAGCTCTGGTAGTAAACTGCTTAAGGCACTTGACTGCTAACCAGAAGGCTAGTGGTTCAAACCCACCAGCCACTCCGCAGAAGGAAGGTTGGGCAATCTACTTCCATAGTGATACTTCCTCAGAAACCCAAGGAGGGGTTGCTATGGGTCACATCCAACTCCATGGCAATGGTTGTGTTGTGTTAATGGTTAGGGTGATCATTTAGTGAATCTTGCTTAAGACTTCTTCCCAGGTAAAAATGAGTGTGATCTTCATTGTCTATTTGAGCTGACCAAGAATTACTCCCTGAGGAACATTTCGGCTCTGTCCTAGGGTTTTCAGTGGCTCATCTACAAGTACAGGGGGTATGGCCTTATTCTTTACAGAAATTATCAACCTCTACCCTCAGTTTGGCTGACTATGCAAACTCATTGCTTCTCATTTCAATATACTCTTGGAAGACCTCAGGGAGCATAATCTTGAATTCACTGATGCTCCAAGCTCACCAAATCTTGGATAAGAGAAATGATATTCATGGAGTGTTATGGGAATGGGGCCTAGGCATCTATGTTTTTCAAACTACCCCTGGCGATATTTCACATGCAGATGGGATTGAGAATGTTTGCTTTGATTGCTATAATATCTATCCCTAGTTACATCAGACCAACAGACTGATGTATAATTTCAACAAATGGGCCAATGATGAAGTAAATTTCTTTGACTTGTCCTCTGTCAAGGTATCATTGGGCCATAGTGAGGTACCCTCTGAGAAAACATCCTTGAAATCTTACACTGAGGTCTCCAGAAGGCTATTACTGGAGATACTATGAGGGTCTTTAGGAAAAAATTTCTCTCTGGTTTCAATACTGAGAATAGCTGTGTTTCTCTGAAACAATTGCTCTATTTGTACTTTACAGATAACTGTGACTCCTCATTTCTTTCCTTGCACTAGGAAAGGTGGTGCCTAATTTGTGGTATGGTTTGTCAGTTTATAGGACTCTTTGGCAAGAATGCATACACTGTAAACTTTCTGTTGGCATTATTTCATTTTCTTACCATTACAGACACTATTTATAATCTACTCTATTTTTTGCACTCTATCATGTTGTTGTTGTTTTATCTATCTTTTTATGCTACCTTGATGTCCTTTGGGAATAATGCAAAATAACTAAGTAAATAAGAAAATGAAAGACTGTTTTTAAGGTAAGGAGAACCAGGCAGAATGCCAGAGAAATTTCATTATGTAGCACAGTCACCAACTGCAAGAAGAAAAATTAGCATGAAGGAAACATTAAGTGGAGAAAATCTTTTTCTTAACTTTCTCCTCAAAACTGGAAGAAAGGACTATGAAGCTAAAATGCTTGAGAAAATGAATTTGCTTTCTCATCTCCATTTCCTTATTTCCTGCATTTTCACAATAGCTTGGAAGAGACTGTGGCTGTGGAATTTTAAAACTTACCTTAAAAAGGATATCTGTACACATTGCTTTTCCATGAGTTATAATTGGTTCTTGGTCTTCACCTTTGCCATCCCAACAGTCAAGTTCAACACATCTAGGAATATAGTGAATTTACAATATTGAATTCTTAAAATAAAATTGTTTGTACACAGATTGAAAGAAAGACATCAAAATATTTTTTTTTTCTTACAGAAGCAGAAAATAGAATGAATTAGAGAACATGATTATTTTGTGGGTATATAGGTTTAAAACCACAGTATACTTTTCATCCAGTTTATACAATCAAAAAGGCACTATCCCACAGTGAAAAAGATTTAAGAGACAATAAAGCAGTGTAATTCTGGATGAAATCCTAATTGTAACAAAGGTGCAGGGAGCTCTGGTAGCATAGTGCCTAAG